TGCAACAGTTTTGGAAGGGTTAGAAGTTTGGTTTTGCTTCCAGTGCCTAGTAATAGTAATCCTGGCCGGTAGTAGGATATGGGTGACAATCATATTAAATTGGGTAGGAAAATTCTCTATACCTAGGTTTAAGTTGGTCAAATCTGGATGAAGAGAAGTGATTATACTGGTAATCTCAGAAAGAATTAGAACATTTTTCCTGTAGAAACTGTTGATGTAATCACAGTGCCAAAATATAGAAGGAATTGTGCATGGTAGACTTTGTCCAAGTGGTATGGGGTTAAATACCATTGTTTGAGTGATTTTTTTGGGCCAGTTACCAGTGTTCAATACAGTTAGTAGATTCATACAGTATATTGAGTTAAGAGAAATCAGCCATTGTGAGTCCGTAAACAAAGATGAGAGATCTAATTCCCATTTATGGAAGGGAGTAGACTTTGTAAAGGAGGTTTTGTTATGAAGGATATTGGAGAACTGGAGAAATTGCAATGAAAGGTTCTTGGCTACTAGGGTGGGGCTTCACGTTTGAGTCAAACATAAGTTGGACATGAACATGGGCTGTTCATTTGTTCGGCGAACACAGGAACGGTAAGGGCGTTTGGTGGGCTGTTCGCCCGCTGTGCCCTACAATGCACTGCACCCTGACAGTGCATTGTGATTGGCCAAAGCAATGCACCTGACCACAGGTCACTTTGGCCAATAACAGCACATGATGATGTCACTGGGGGGGTGGGGGTTACCTCATCACACTATTTAAGTCACACTAGATAACTGTCATCCCGGCATAGCTGTCAAATGGTGGGCGCCAGCATCGAGAGCAAAGCTTTTTATTTTCTTTTAACTCCTTTACATGGAGGGGTGAGATCTGGGGGCCCCCTTGTTAAAGGGGGCTTCCAGATTCCCATAAGCCCCCGCCTGCAGACCTCCACAACCAGTCCACAGTTGTGGGTAAGAGGCCCTTGTCCCTATCAACATGGGGACAAGGTGCTTTGGGGGGAGCCCCCCTGCCCCAAAGCACCGCTCCATGCTGAGAGCATGTGGCCTAGTATGGTTCAGAAGGGGGGTGCTCGCTCATCCCCCCATTCCTGACCTGCCAGGTTGCATGCTCGGATAAGGGTTTGGAATGGATTTTTGGGATGGACCCACAAGCCATTTTGTAAAGAAATTTTGGCATGGGGGGTTTCCCCTCAAAATCCATAACAGACCCAAAGGGCTTGGTATGGATGGGGGGGAAACCCCACACATTTAAAAAAAAATTGTAATTGCTGGGCAATGCTGGCAATGCTTTTTACATTCAGCTGTCAGCGGGGAACTCCTCCAACAGCTGAAACATTAAAGAATGTCTTCACTACTAAAATACAGCATGACTTAATAATATAACTAATGCAGAATTTTAGTAGCTGTGCGGTATCCTATCGCATACTCAAATGCCGCTTAGGGAATTGTCACTGTTTGAAGTTTGCGGTTGAACTTTCAGTAGGTTCGAATGTTCGACCATGAACCAAACGGGGGTGTTCGGCCCATCACTATTGGCTACATGAAGGACAGATTTTGTTCTCTCTTGGGAAGAGGTAACTAAGAGGGATATATCACCATCATCTATAAATAATTAAGTGCTCCATATAACAATTTTGGTATAGAGGTATTCACTTTTAAGTTATAACAAAAAACAAGGGGGCACACTTTATGGAAGAGAGGTTTAATCTCCACATATATCAAGGCTTCTCCATAGTAAGAACTCTGAAAATGTGGAATAGTGTCCATCAAGAACTAGTTCTGGCCAGCTCAGTAGATTGTTTGTAAACGAGCTGGATGCTTTCCCAAATGCACAAAATATTCATCATTTGTATAATAAGTGTTTGACACTTGTCAGTAGTAAAGATATGTAAACAGTTCCTGCACAAAAGTTTATAATAATTGCAACACCTCTCTTGGCAATTGGATATAAAATGTATTTGGTTTAAAGAGCTTTGTTGATCTTGGCATGATGACAGCACATATGTCAATAGCAAAGAGAAAGCCCTGGATGTGTGTGGTTTAGCAAAGGCAGTTTTTACCTGCACATTTCTTGTGTAGTTTCTAATCAATTGCCCCTAATTTCATGAATTTGAAGTGGTAGTAAGAGACATTCTTACATTTCTATATGACAAATGTGCATTTTTTAAAAATCTAGGTCATTGATGAATATGTTAACTTTATGTGTAAATAGATTAGTATAAAACCATTATCTGTAGGCACTACAGTATCTTAATCAACACCTAATGTTTGCCTGTTCAAATGTGTTTGAAAAAGAGTGCACCATGGGATGTACTTACTCTTTTTTCATATATATATATATATATATATATATAAAAAAAAAATATATATATATATATATATATATATATATATATATATATATATAAATAAATAAATATATATATATATATATATATATATATATGAAATGCAATTTATGAAAAGTTAATATATTTATAGACAATATCTTATAAGGAGCAAAAATAGACTTAAAGTGATACTAAACCCAGGACCCTGCATTCACTATATCTGGTCTCCCACAGTACACAGAACATGGATGTGCAATTATTATAGTAACTATAAACTACTAAATACCTTTTCCAATCAGCAGTTATAGCAGTCTTGTGACTTCAGCAGAGCACTGGTTAAAGCTTGTAGGAAGAGTTTTCTTTCTGCTCTAGGAGGATGTGAAACCTCTAACCCTCTGCCTGGACAGCACTGATTGGCCCTGAGCTGATCACATGCACCCTCACAAGAAAAAAAAAAAACCTCTGCAGCAATACACACCAAACTGAGCATGTGCATGTGACCACAGGTTCAGGCTGTATCAGGTGATCATTTCAACAAGAGGAGGGGCAGAGAAGAAAAGATCAAACTTTTTACACAGGATTAACCCCTTAGGTTCCACAGTGAGCATAACAAGCATGCTTTACTGCTTATACAGACTGATTTTTACTGTTGTGGGTCTAGTAACACTTTAAATAAGAGAGTTTGACACCTTGGAAATATTAATCTAATTGAGGATCTCTCTAAAGCTTTATCACTTATATTACATTATCTTGGCTGCTGAGACAAATTAGAACATATTAAAGAACTACCTTTCTAAAGTTCTGAATTCCTTTAACGCTAATGTCAAGTGAAAATTAAAGTCCGTTGATAGGTAAAAAATATAATAGAAAATAACCTGACTCAAATTGACATAAAGCCTGGCTACATTATAATTATGTTAAAATTAAGTTAAGATTATAGAATTGTTTGCTCCTTCCTGTTGACAAATGCTAGTTTTGTAATTTGTAGTTTTGTAATTTAGTGGGTAGAGAAGCTTAACAATCAGCAGCTAAAGCAAGTTACTATCAAAGCAATATTTTGATAAATATTTCATATACATTTGACAAATTGTTTAATGCAACTTGAGTTCAATATGCATTTTGACAAGCTACATCATTCTTTTTTTCTGATTATTTTCCTTGACCTTGGCCTCAGCTTTGGACTTTTATTACAAACTGTTATTGCTAGCTGATAATTTGATAACACAGTTCTTATGAATGATTGTTGCCTGACCTATTGACCTTATATGAAATCTGACCTGTCCCTCTGTCTTCTATGTTTTTCTTATTTAGCCAGTCTTTTAACTTTTTTCAATTTTGTTCTGCATCTTATTTGGGTTCACAAATCTATTCTTTACCTGAAAACTAAAAATTGCCTCACCCCTAACTAGCAAGGTTAACCCTTTCACTGCTTGCGTTTTTTTTTTTTTGCTGACACGTTATGCTAAAATCATTTTAGGCCTGACGATTACTTGGATAGACACCCTGGAGAATAAAATGGTGGTAATGCCAGTTCTTTATCATACTATATTAGCGCAATGTTTTATCAAGCACATTTCCATAAAAAGTACACTAAAATTAATTTTAAGGCATAAAAAATGCAATATATTACCCAGTTTTTGGTCAAATTTACAATATGAGGTTGCATGAGAAAAATATAGTCTAAAACAAATTGTGCGCATGTGAAATGGAGACAAACTTCAATATCCAAAATTTGTCATAGGCAATGCTTTAAAGGCCACAGGTCACCAGTTTAGAGTTAACCATGAACAATAGGCCTTAAATATTTGATCATACTCCAGCCTGTGTGGAAATATTTACCAAGTGTAATGCAATCCATGTTTTTGTACATAAGCACCCTGATGCGAGGTTTTTATATTCATATGTGCCTGCTTGTATTGGGGACGTGCTATTTTTTTGGAGGGGGTATAAGTGTTTGGGTGTAAATATTATTTGTTTACACTTTTTTCAGGACATTTTTTACCACATAGGGGACTGTGGGCTCAATTCATGAAGAGTTATTTCCTCTTTAGGATCTGAGGCAAATAGCTCATAGCGGTTTTTTAAAAATATTTTTGCAATTCACAAAAAAAAACACTACTAAAATAAAGCATGAGTTATTTTATCGAAATATGAAGTATTTATCTCAGGAAACTGTTTGGTATTTTATCTCATGACATGATATTCAGTGGAATGGATAGAGTGGAGAATGATTAGAAACCCTGTAAGTTTTTATTGCTGTCTGTGCCTCCATTAGGGAGAATCACTCTCTCTATTGTTACTGTTTCTCCTGTTTCTTACCTCTGAAAGTGAAAGTAGGGAAATCTCCCCAATGGGACACAGATGGCAAAAACTGCCTGGGGTTCTAACACTCCATTACTCTATCCAAAATAAAAAAAGAAAGTTTGTGTCTGTCTTTACTTTAACCACCTCCCGCCCACCATATAGTACAATGACGGGCGCAAGGTGGTTCTCTCTTTCTGGGAGGATGTCATATGACGTCCTCCCATTCTCACCGCGCATGCGCAGCTCAGGGAGCGCGCAACACGGCGATTCGGTGGTGCACTGTGTCCCTCGGACACAGCGGATCAACGATCCACAGAATGAGCCGAAGATGTCGGCTCGGTCATGTGATCAGCAGTGTCCAATCACAGCTGATTACATGTAAACAGGGAAATGCCGGTTATCAGCATTTCTCTCCTCTCGAGCTGTCACGCTGACAGCTCGAGAGGAGAGGAGAGCCGTTAATCGGCTTTCTGCAGAGGGGACATGTACACTGATTATCAGGGCACTGATGATCAGTGTGCCCTGATGATCAGTGTAGCCCCAGCAGCGCCACCTTTCAGTGCCCATCAGTGCTAGCTGTCAGTGCTCATCAGTGCCACATTAATGCCACATATCAGTGCCTACCAGTGCACATCAATGCCACATATCAGTGCCCATCTGAGCTGCCTTTCTGTGTCACCCATCAGTGCCAGTCAGTGCCACCTATCAATGCCAATCAGTGCCACCTATCAGTGCAGCCAATCAGTGCCACCTATCAGTGCCAGTCAGTGCCGCCTATCCGTGCCAGTCAGTGCTGCCTATCAGTGTGCATCAGGTTCCGTCTATCAATGCCGTCAGTGCTACCTAACAGTGCCAGTCAGTGCCGCCTAGCAGTGCCAGTCAGTGCCACCTAACAGTGCTAGCCAGTGCTGCCTATCAGTGCCATATATCAGTGCCATATATCAGTGCCCATCAGTGATGACTGTCAATGCCCATCAGTGGCACCTACCAGTGCCTTCTCATCAGTGCCCATCAGTGCCACCTATCAGTGTCCATCAGTGCAGGCTCATTAGCGCACATCAGTGAAGGAGAAAAATCACTTCTTTACAAAATTTTATAACAAAAACTAAGAAAAAAATTTTTTTTTTCAAAATTTTCAGTGGTTTTTGGTTTGTTTAAGAAAAAATAAAAAACCCACAGGTGATTAAATACCACCAAAATAAAGCTCTATCTGTCACAAAAAAATGATAAAAAGTACAGTGTTGCATGACCGTGCAATTGTCATTCAAAGTGCAACAGCACTGAAAGCTGGAAATTGGCCTGGGCAGGAAGGGGGTATAAGTGCCCTGTAGGCTAGTGGTTAAAGTCTTTTTTACTTGTCTATCCATAATCCAATTCTGTCTTGTGAAAATATGCGCCAAAGATATCTCTAAAAATAATTGTGAAAAAGTAAAGTATCCTCACTACATAGCATGAGAGTGAGTAACTCCTGAACCCCCAACAACAATGCTCACACGTTCTGAAGTTATACTACATAAAATATGGCAATCAATAAAAGTGACACAACTAGATAATAATGTGACAGCCACGGCAGACTCAGACTTGTGTTCCCACAACAGCTATATAGAAATCTGATATTAAGTGCTGTGCTGCCTCGACTACTGGTGCTATCTCTTAAATAAAAATTTTAATAACATCTATATTAACATGAATGCTTAAAAAACCAAAACAAGTAAGTGAGCAAGCAGTCTGTGTTTTTCAAACATAAAACTGGCGTTGAAAATGTATTAGTAGTTCTATATAAACGCACACTCTTCAATATAAATATTCCACTGGTGATCCTAGTTTAAAGCACCATCTGCCCATTCACCACTACACTTACTAAACACTCACTTTTCTTTGATATACAATACATGTAAGGTCAAATAATGCATGTGTTTATATCCAGACGGTTTCACTCTGTCATGTGTATTGCCTCCTCTTTGCTCGTAGCAAGATCTCATACTCCTCCTGTCCACTACGCTGCTTATTTCTTAGTGGGTGTTCTCTTAGGATAATTGGGTATAGGTCCCTTTTAAGACTGTTATATGTCCATACTCTCATATAGATTTACTACATTTGCATGTAAAAACAAAAGTGGTAAAACAGCCTCCGATGGTGTAGTACAACCGTATTTGTGTTTTATTAATTAAAAAACCGCACTCACACAAAAATTCAGCCAGCATATTTAACAATGTACATGGGCCCAGTGATTAAGCATGTCCTTATGTAACCATAACATTAATTGTATTACATGGGGGCCATTTTGTGGATGTTCTACAAGAACTATTATAGCCATATTGCCTGTGATTTTGATATAGAAGGCAAAGGTAGTCATTTTCTGATGGGTTTTTTCACACCTGTCGGCCATATTACTGTAGTCAAAGAATACACTGAGTGGGGATAGTGACCATACTGTTGTAGTAAAGGACACAGATAACCCAGCTCCCCTTTCCTCATAGCGTATTCCAATAACTTTGTAAGAAGCAATCTCCTATTATGAAAACAAATGTGAAAAGCTACACATCAATAATGAATATCTACCTACCAGAAGTTGTGGTGTTTATGTACATTGTTTGATATTCTGGCTGAATTTATGTGAAATGTGAATGCAGTTTTTAATTAATAAAACACGAATATGATTTTACTATATATTTGGAGGCTATTCTACCCCTTTTGTTTTTACATTCAAGTTGGGTTAACCCTTTATGAGAGTATGACCCCATACCTGTACCCAGTGGTGTCCCGAGGCAGATACAGGGGGTGTGGTCCACTCCGGGTGACACCGACCGCACGGGATGACACCAGACCCGCTCCACAAAAAGGTAAGTTGTAAAGCAAGCCGACATTCCCCGCAGGATGGATCCGATCCATCCTGCGTCGATCGTCAGCTTTTTTACAACTTACCTTTTCTTGGAGCGGGTCCGGTGTCACCCCATATAGGTTGCATGCCCACAATCCTGCGGGATCCTGTAACTTGTAAAGAAAGCCGATGATCCCCGCAGGATAGATCGGATCTGTGGATTGAGCATAATGGATCGAAGTCTGATCCATTATGCTCAATCCACAGATCCGATCCATTCTACGGGGATCGTGGGAGGGGGTGTCACCATGTGTTACCGCACTGAGTGACACCGACCTTAGGAACGCCTCTGCCTGTACCCAGTTATCCTAGGAGAGCACCCAAAAAGAAAACAGCACCCTAGTAGACAGGAGGAATATTAGATCTTGCTACGAGCACAGAGAAAGCATCACACATGGCAGAGTGACACCTGCTGGATATAAACACATGCGTTATTTCACCTTACATGTATTGTAGGTCAAAACATTAAGGTGAGTGCTTAGTGAGCTCAGTGGTGAATGGGAAGATGGTGTTTGAACCTAGTATCACCAGTGGAAAATGTATACTGAAGATTGTGCATTTATATAGAACTCTAGGAAAAGGCTACATTGGAGCACATCCAACTGCTCTGAGGAGATTCAGCTGTCACAAGAGTTGCCCACCCTCCGACCTGTTATGATGTTTTGTCACAGCTTTAATGGCAGTTTTGACCTTACCAGAAATGGATGTTGCTTTATGGGTTATACCCAAGTTAAATTCTGGGGTGAGTCTAATATTTGTCTTCCACTGATGGTAAGGAAAGGCCTCTTAGACTATGTGAGTTTGTTTTATGGGTGTTCACAGTATAACTGACTGGCATTGTCTTTGGTACATTTGGAAAGTTGTTTCATTTGCACACTTCAATAAAGCTGTGGCCTTGTCCTATTTCCAACTTAATCAGTTTCCATGTCTTTTTGGGTGGAAAGGCATTGGTTTATTAGTTGGTCAATAAATGAGTCAATGCTTCTCAGCAGTCAGGTGACATTTGGGATTGCTTAAAGAATGACAGTTGATCAATCTAGGCAGAAATGACATGCACTACAGAACAGGAATAGAATAGGAACACTAAGCAACTCATTCACTCCCTTATTATATCACACCTTGACTACTGTAACTCCCTCCTCACTGGTCTACCTCATCGCAGGCTATCCGCACTCCAGTCCATCATGAATGCTGCTGCCAGACTCATCCACCTTACTAACCGCTCTAGATCTGCCACCCCTCTCTGCCAATCCCTCCACTGGCTGCCAATTGCCCAACGGATAAAATTCAAAACACTAACATTGACGTATAAAGCCGTTCATAACACTGCCACTTTACATCACCGACTTTGTCTCTAAATACCACCCAAACCATAACTCTGCATGTGTTGCTCCTCCAAGACGGTTTCACTCTGCCCCATGTGTATCCTCCTCCCATGCCCATCTCCAGGATTTCTCAAGGGCAAGATCTCATACTCTGGAACTCCCTACCCCAATCTATAGGCTATGCCTACTCTTTTTTAGGGGCTCTGTTCTCTTCAGGAAGCCTAATTGACCCCAGCTAATACTAGAATCCTCTACTCCCTTTCCATCCCCCACAGCTAATTACCTCTTGTACCACTATCCCCTCTCCTAAGATTGTAGCTCCAAGGAGCAGGGCCCTCTAATCAAAAGTGGTATTGAACTGTATTGCCTCTGTATGTCTCCCGTTAAATTGTAAATCGCTGAGCAAACTGTCGGTGCTATTATAAGTACTGTATAATAATAGGAACAGGCTGGATGATAGTGATGCTGGCCGGCAAACTTAGGACAAGCAGAAGGCAAAGCAGAACTTGAGGTTCAGAAATATATGCAAAATGTGTCACGCTCCACTAATATTAAATATGATATTTACACTGAAATATAAACATAGGATTAATATGTATAATCCAAAATGATTTTAGTAACAAAAGTGAGTCCGTGCTTTAATTGCATCCTGCCTTATTTACAAAAACATTGAATTGTGTTATTCATGGTGAAAATTTTATAAATATTCTACAAAAGTTTTTTAAATAAACATATAAAAAATTATTTTGATATAGTCCAGGCAAAGGTAGTCTTTAACTTTTGTGCTCCTTCAAAATTTCTCACCTGACGTATAGGACCATATTAACTGTAGTCAGATACAGAATGTCCCTTTAAGTGGGGATAGTGACAGTGTTTGTTGTAGCAGGGGGTCACGCTGTAACCCAGAGGCCTGCTTTCCTGGAGTTGGATGGATGGATGGATGGAATAATCCCCCTTTCCTCTAGATGGTCTCTTCCCTCCTTTCTGACTTATCTCTCATGTGAAAAGGTATCCTGCAAACAGGCATCAATAATGAAGGTTTAGGTCTGGCTACAGGTCTACCAGCAAGAAACAAGATATATCTGTGTCATTGTTTGATGTAGTGCCACACAGAATGGGACCTGTGAAAATGTGTAATGCTGAAGTTTGGTGTAATAAAACAGAATATTTTAGCTGTCGGGGGTATCAGCTAGGTGAGGCTGAATTCAGGTACTCAAAAAATTTTTGTTCATTTATTTCAGTAATGCAACTTGGGTGAACCCTAATATGAGAGTATGACCCATACATGCAAACCAAGTAGTTCAAGCTGTGATTTGATACAGGATGATTATGGCTTCCAGCTCATGGTGACACCGACCGCAATCTCAGAAAATGACAATATTGTGAAAAGGTGCAATATTCGTTCAAAGAGACCAAAAGGTCAGGAACCCTTTGCATGTGTTAGGCTTAATTAGCTGATTAGAGTGGGACACTCAGTCTGGTTCAGTAGGAATCACAATCATGGGAAAGACTGCTGACCTGACAGTTGTGCAGAAAACCATCATTGACACCCTCCATAAGGAGGGAAA